AAGTTTTACGAAGGTTAACGTGTTGAAGACATATCTGTTGGTGCATGCGCTACTATAAAAAATCGAGTCTAGAAGCAAAAGCAAGATAAAGAGAAAAATCGGCTAAATTTTAATATTGTACCCACTTTGCATTCAGACAACATCCTGACACCCATACCTACCGTTTGAAACAGTAACGAAACTTTAGCACATATATTGTATAGTCAAGGCCAAACACTAACTGCGATTACCAAATTCAGCTTGGCGATTAGCCTGGACTGTTATCTATTTGAATTTTTACAGCTGAATTACTTTTCAAATTCTAAACGTCATATTTAATTTTTGCTGTCTGGCTATACTACAGCTATTTAAATATCCTTCAAAGACGTGCAACTAGCGATGAAAATGCATTCCGGATAGATTCTTGATGCATAACCCATTCAAATTTATTTGAAAAAAAATGGGTAAATCTTTGATGTAGACGTGTGTTCTATAATTTTTGATGTTTGATGGAATTCGTGAAGGTATTATGTTGAGCTTCACTTTTATATTGGTCGGATTATTTCATTATTAAAGAAACATCTTCAGTGCCAGGTTAAATTTGCAAAATATATAATAAAAAAACGTTTTTAATGTGTTATTTCATGAACTGTTCAAGAAAAATCTCTTAAATAAGAAATTTTTTGAAAAGTTTTATTCTATTAAAAATTCCGCTCTCTGTGTTGTGCGTTTAATTGGTTATTAAAACTGCTTCAATAGTTTTCAGGATACTGAGTTCTACTAAGAAGAAGCAATCTGAATAAGCTGACAAAATATGACCACTTCAGCAAAACAAATTTTTCTTCATTAACAGTAGTCAACAATGTTCTGCTAGGATGGTTTTAAGACTTCTTTAAGTTCTATTTTTTAACTCAACAAATTCTAAGCTCACCCTTCAGTTTAAAATTATTGCCAAATAATAACTGAAAGAATTGGAGTAACCTTACCAACGCAATATCAGGTTTGGTGTTTTGCTAGCTTAAAAATATCAAGATTCGACAATTAAAAAACTCTTTCATGCATTGCTGAAATTCAGTAAGTTGCTCAGACTTCTCTTACAATTTGATAAACCTTCAAAAGAAAAGTAAAATTAGTAACAGAGAGTTTGACTTTATTAAATGAGCTTATTAAAGCCTATTAAGGTTTCAGCCTATCAAAAAAAAAAAAAATAAAAACTTTAAATTTAGTTTTATTGGGAGCTTGCGGGATACCATTATCACATTATCTTTGTTATCTGAAGCTTCCGACGCAGTTTCTTCAAACTCCTCTTCTGTATTCTTTAATCTCTGATCACCAATTTAAGAGAACAGTAACTCCATTAAAACTCTTAAAATCTGTGTAGATTATTTTATTGGCCTTTTATCAGTCTGTAATTATAACCTTAAGTTGGTGAAGATGCAATTCTGCTTTCAAGTAAGAAGCGGTTGACGTTTGTTTTGTTATCTCACTTTTTCAGTTACCTTAACGTCCCTATTTTTTCATTGGCAATTCTGTCTAAAAACAGATTGATGTTGAACTGCTCTGCGAGGATTCTGTCATCTGTTGTCATTTAATGAATTTTCTATAATAAATTTGTTGGTTTTGTTCCTTCTTCCCTTCTACTGCCCCATAGACGTCGACTGAGTGCTTGACATGAAGCTGCAAATACTTAAGAATAGTTTTCACTAACTTAACCTCAGCTTAACCCTCTCATTGAAATCAGATATTCTATCCAGCTACACTTTAGTTTCCACCGATTTATCTTCCTTTGCGAATATCTCAAGCAACAGCCGTACAATTTGTCCTTTTATAGAGATTTTCACAAATATTTTGCCGATTCCTAGTTCAACTAGCTGCAGCAGGACTAGTTCCTTCTTTACGACAAGAAAGAAGAACTGCAGTGAAAACCATATTGTTTCACTCTTAACAGCGTAAAATTTCTATAACAGATTTAAAAGTGAAAAAGAAAAATGTTACAAAAGTGTACTAAGAAGAAAGACCAGTCACTGATAGATATTTCTTTGATGTACCTCAACTGATTCATTTTTCGATATACTTCTGTAAGTTAAAGAGATTCAACAGTCATAATTTGTTAGTAGGCAGACTTTTATTTATCAACCTAATAAATAAACGTTTTTTAAATAAAGTATCAGATCTATCAGTTAAAAAAACGTTTTCTTTTAAAATCAGTTTTAAAGTATCTCTAACCTATGTTCTGCTCAATTTGCTTTTTTCTTTCCACATTACAATGAATTATTGACTTCGGTAGCAAAAATTTTCACAGGACTTTATGGCAAATATTTGAATTGTTGAAAAAAAAAGTATTTCTTTTGATACATTATTATTCTGTTGCTTTTAATAAGTGTCTGAACACAGAAAAATAACATTAAAATTCTTACTGCCAACCAAATAATTCAGGAAAAGATAAAAAAATAATGTTGACTATAAATTGGAAAAACTTACGAAAATAATAATGACAATAACAATTTTTAATTGAACTTCTATCTTGTCTTGTCACCGGTATTTATTTCAAATGTTTCCAGTTGTCAGCTTTTTTTTTCCAGTAATTTATTTTTAAAAAAATGCAGTAAAATGCATTTTTGCAAAAAAAAATCATTCTAATAGCATAAAAATGTCAAAAAAAAATCGTTTTTTTCTTTATTAAAAAATGACAAAAAATTGAAACATAGAGTTTTTTTTAGTTATTTTTATCATTATGGAACTGTCTAATAGCAGTCCCATTAGAAAATTAGCTATTGTACATCCTATAAATTTTGATTAAAATATTACACCCCGATCAGTGAATGGTGATCAAAAATACTGTTGACACATACAGAGACAGACCAATTTAACGGACGAACGTGCAACGGACTTTAAATTACAGTCAGACGATCTGATGGTAAAAAACTTCAATTCATTGAACTCTTGAATTTGCCAAAAAAAACAGTTTTTTTCTTTTACTTCTTAATTATTTCTTTTCTTCGCCATGTTTTTCAGTAAATTGTTCAAAATAGAAGGCATATTTAGAGGAAAAAATAGAAACTCCAAAACTACTCGTTAAAAAGGCCAATTCAGAGCAACAGTCAAATTCAACTGAGCAATATATGTTAGTAAAGATTATATCATCGCCAAAAAATATTGCCAACAAATTATTACAGATAATTTTTGTTGTTTATCTGCTGCAAATAAATTTTTTTTTGGCCATATCTGTAGGCTTTTTAAAGCCGACGAATTGAAATAATTATTGTAATCGACAATAAACAAAAATATTACGTATCTTTGAGTTTTTCCAGATTTTTTTTTTCAGTATTAATAAGGTTTTCCAGCAGAAATAAAACAAAATCAAATATGACATATTTGAAAACATATAAATAAAGTTTCAAACTTTTATAGTGTTTGTTAAAATAGGAACTGAAAAAAAAAAGAATAAAAATTGAAATTTAAAGCCGTTTTCAGTTGTTGGCATTTCAAACGCCAACAGTGACGATGACGAAAGCGGCGAACTGTCGCCCACTGTGTGTTGACGATTCAGAAAAAAGATAAAAAAAAATTTTTTCTGAAATTGGTACTGTTCAACGGTGTTAAATTTATTTTTCTGTCTTTTCTTCATTCATTCCGTTCTTTTTGTATGTTTTTACACTCATAAAGACTTCCTGTACTGCGACAAAATTTAACCAGACTATCAGCAGTATCGAAAACATTGTACTGCTGCTGCTCATACTTTATTTTACGTATGTGGCTGTATTATTTAGCTGCTGGGATGGCTATCAAATTGAAAAAAAAACTGTAAAAGCTTTGTAATTTTATGCAACTGAATGACTGACTGATGAAACAGTATATTCGTGGCTCATTTTACGCGTAATTGAGAAAATTGGTTCAATTTTTGAAGCTTAAATGAATCAGAAAAGAAGAAAAAGTTGTCGATATAGTATTTTACTAATTACAGTTATTGCATTTAGTATAGCTCAGACTACAGACGAGATTTGCTGTAGATACCTTTCCAAGATACTGTTCTCCTAATTGAGCTGCACAGACCCCATCCTTAACATCATATCTTCATCATAGTCTTCAACGTTTTTGTGTCTCAATTTTTCCTTTCCCGGACATCCAGCTATTTTGAAAACTATTTCAATGTAATATAATCCTATGACTGTTTGTAGAAGCTGAAGTAAAAACTTTCAACATCAATATTATTGGTGTCGTTCTTAATAATTTTTTAACTCAGTTTTAGATTTTAATTTTTTTTTTTTTTTTTTTAGTTTTCACATCAAATTTGAACTGTTCATTGTGTTTTATTTTTGTTTAGTGTTCAAAATTCATATCGCTTCTTTTATTTTACTTTTTTAAAGCACTCTAATCAGTTCAGGTAGATTTTAGAAAGAGAGAAAAACATTTTAAACTTTTTATATATTTACTTTTACTGTTGCTTTTGCTTTATTAGTTACATTGTTAACTACTAAGTTATAAAAAGTTAATTTCATCTTTTTAAATATTATTTGTAATTATGCATTTTATAAATTTTCTAAACATTCTTCATTAGTTTGTTGTTTGTATTGCCGTAAATCTTAAATAATATAATAAAAATTTTCTGTCACTTCTATTTGGCTATTCCATTTTTTTTTCCTGGACAATAAAAAAAAATATTTTTTTATTGCAAACAGTTGTTGCATATTTGAACAGTAGCTAAAATTGATTTTTTAAAAAATTACTTTTAAGTGTTGACTACGTGTCATATGTATTTCAATGATTTAAATGTCCAAAAATAGCGAGGTATCTCTTTTTCTATTTATTGTTTTTAACATTGTACATGTTTCAGTAATTCCTTTCAGAAGGCTTATTTGCATATATTACGTATGCGTGTTCCTCTGCTATGACGTGCACCTATAGAACTGATAAAACTATTTTGATGATTTCAGAGCCAACACAGATTAGACTCCCGTAGAGCTTAGAATAAAATTTGGTAATACAGTGACTTGGCGTGGACAGACAACAAGCACCAAAATATGCCAGAACTTTTAAAACAGGAATTGGAGGAAGGAATCTTACTTGGTTGTGGGAATCCGTTGCTTGATTACCAAGCACGTGTTACCAAAGAATTCTTAGATAAATGGAAGTTGAAAGAAAACGATGCAATACTGCTGGATGATGATCGAGCATCTATGTAAGTGCTTGAAAAAGAAAAACAACTTTTTTTTTACCGAACTTTATGGTTACTTTGAAATCTATTTTTTGAATTATTAACAGCGTCTTCATTTTGATTTAGAAATGATTTTTCAACTGAAATGAGTCACATCTGATATAAAATTAGTCTTAAAGTCATAAACTTTAAAATTATTTATGCAATATTTACTGATTAATATTTTGTTTTTTAAAAATAATAATTGAATAGATTTGTAACTGAAGTGGGTAAAGAATGAAAAGATGAACTCTAAAACTGAGCACTAATTTTAGATTTGATGAACTAGAAAAAAATTTTGAAGTTCAGTTGCTTCCCGGTGGCGCAACGCAGAACGCTCTACGGGTCTGTCAGGTTGGTTTTTTATAACATCTGTAACCAACCTTTATTGATAAATTTTCATTTACTTTTAAACTAGATTCAAATAGAAGCGTACAATTTATTGTTTTTCCATTACTTTTTTGTCGTGTTTACCATAAATGATCTTTGAAACACTTTTTGATCAGTGTCTTAATGAAGTTTTTTTAAAATACAGTTAAAGTTAACTTTAGTGGGTCTTGAACAAACCGAACTGCACTGTTTTCTTCGGCGCAATTGGTGATGATAAGTATGGCAAAACGTTGAAACAGAAAACTACGGAAGCGGGTGTGAATGTTCAGTATCAAGTGAATTCGAATGCTAAAACGGGTACATGTGCTGCAATGTTGTACAAAGAACACAGGTTCTATTCTTTGTCAACTTTCCTGCTAGTAATCGAACTGTTTTAGAAATTAAATTTAACCACTTCATAATCAGTAACTTTTAAAGTAAATGATACCAAAAAAAACTGCTCAACGATGGGCAAAAATGCCAAAAAAAAATTTAGAAGGATATCACTTAATGTTCAGTGGAGCTTAAATTTTTAATTTCAGCAGCTTAAAAAGCAGATTAAAGAGCAGAGAATTTTCTTGAACTAACTTTAAAAGTAATCTAAATTAATTTTAAGAAATAAGTATAATAACCAAGTTTTTTTGATACTTTCAACGGGTAAATTTATAATAAAAATTTTTTGAGTGTATAAACATTATAGCTCTAATTTATTTACACGTAATTAATTTGGGTAATGACTTTAATAGACTTTTATTTTCGCCCTTAAAATCTCTTTCAAAGAAGAACAAAACGTTGGTTTAGAGTTCTGTTGAATTTTTAAAGACTGATGAAAAAGAACTATTTATTTATTACATTAGGATAAAAGAAGAAGCTGAAAGACAAGCGAACGTTGAAAAATATTACGTTAAAATTGTTTTGCTTAATTGCAGGTCACTATGCGCTCATCTCTCCGCAGCCAATACGTTCACCGAAGATCATTTAGATAAGATCGAAAATCAGCAGATCATTGAAAAAGCACGATATTATTACATATCAGTAAGTTGAAAAAGTTTTAGAAAACAAAATGTTCGTTACAGCGAAACGAACTATTACGACATTAAATGTAAAATCTTTTTTTTTTTT